GCTTTCTGTCTTCGAGACAATGTTTCTCCATTTCTCCTTAAGGGAAATATAATATTCTGCTTTTTCAATATTTCCTAAAATATTTCATTCTTCTAGGTAAGGGGTGGGTGCTAACTTTCTACAACAGATAAGAGGCAGCTAAACTAGGGGTCTAGCAGATGTCTTAGAAGGACCCCTCTGATTTTCTTGGACTGTAAAGTTTTGTTGTTGTTGTTAGTTGCAAAGTCGTGTCTGACCCATCGTGACCCCATGGACAACGTCCCTCCAGGCCTTCCTGTCCTCTACCATCCCCTGGAGTCCATTTAAGATCACACTGATTGCTTCAGTGACTCCATCCAGCCACCTCGTTCTCTGCCGTCCCCTTCTTCTTTTGCCCTCGATCTTTCCCAGCTCTTCTCCAGAGAGTCCTTTCTTCTCATTAGGTGGCCAAAGAATTTCAGTTTCATCTTCAGGATCTGGCCTTCTAAAGAGCAGTCAGGGTTGATCTCCTCTAGGACTGACCGGTTGGATCGCCTTGCAGTCCAAGGGGCTCGCAGGAGTCTTCTCCAACACCAGAGTTCAAAGGCCTCCATTCTGTGGCACTCAGCCTTCCTTATGGTCCAACTTTCACAGCCATACATTGCAACTGGGAAAACCATTGCCTTGACTATATGCACTTTTGTTGGCAAGGTGATGTCTTTCTTTTTTTTTTAGTATGCTACAGCTAAGTTAGGGGTCTAGCAAATGTCTCAGAAGGACTCTTCTGAGTTTCTTGGACTGTAAAGTCGGGGGAAGAAGTAGCATTTTTTTTTAAGATTTGCAAGAGTCTGTTAACGTAACCTTACAATAAAGGTAACATTAGTCATCATTATTGGTGCTTGCACAACCTCTAAGTCTGCCGACTTGTAATGTGGATGCTATATTTAATTCTTGGGATGATTTCAAAATCACCAAAGTGGATTTCATGTACCGGTTCGAAATTAAGACCATCTTATTTCCTCCCGTAACAAAATCATTGTTGATTTTGACACAGAGTAATCCATCGTGATTTATTCCCCTCTCTCGTGTCCAGGAATTTGTATGAAATATTGCCACACCGTATGCCACAGATATTACGGGCAAGGGCGAATGTGTTCCTTTCAAATGGTTCCTATTAATCTGTTCCCAAAGTTGTTGACAGCCTTTTGCTGAATTTCTCTTCCAGACATACTTGGAAGATCTGGCTTGTGTTCTCAGACTGGTTGGAAGGGCAAAGTTAATTTCTCTCTTTTCTTCCAATCTTATCTGAAGGACTTGGAAGCGGTGGAAGGAAAGGATTGCCTAAATTATCCGTAACGTGGCACAAAGGATTTCCTTCACCTCTTGAACGTAATCCTTGAGGGTCTTAGCAGTGAGGCCATAAAAGGTTCTGTTCGGAACTAGCAGATAAGCCAAAGGGATTGTTCCTCAGTTGATTTTTTTTTCCCCTGTTGAAACAGACGGTGTGGATCATTGGTTAATCTTAGAGGAGGGAGACTGTTCAAACTTCTATGCCACTGAAAAAAGTGATTTAGGACCAGGAGTGGGCTTCAAAAATTTTAGCAAGGGGTTCTCTGCCTGGTTGCTGGTTGGACATGGCCATGGTGGGTGTGGCCTAGTCGGCCTCCTGCACCACGGCGGGGTGTGTGTGTGTGTTTTTGCCCTCCCCAGGCTCCGGAGGCTTTTCTTGAGCTTCCGGGAGGGCAAAAACAGCCTTCCCAGGCTCCGGAGGCCTTCTGGAGGCCGGAAACGGGCCTGTGTTCAGAGGATCCTGGGACATTGTAACCATCATAAATATGAGTCAGTCGCTAAGCATCCGATTTTTGACCATGTGACTATGTGGATGCTGCAACGGTCGTAAGTGTGAAACAAGTCACTTTTCTCAGTCCCGTTGCAACTCTGAACAGTCACTAAGTGAACAGGTCATAATCCAGACAGGTTTGTGTTCAGGAGTAATGAAAAGTAAGGGTAAGGAGAGCTAGTAATACCAAAGGTATTATTACGGAATGCAATGGATGCAAATTACATAATTCGTACCATTGACAACAATGTGGGCACGATGCCAAGTGCTTGTCTCATCCTTTTGTAGCTCTTGACATGTTACTCACAATCAAATAACCCTCAAATGGATATAAATCATATATTCCTGCTTTAAGATTATACAATTTTTTCCTTAAGGAATACTGAAAAGTAGAACTTGACTCCCTTAAATTTTTTATTTTGTTTATTTATATCCTGCCTTGATTGTTTTATAAATAACTCTAGTGATGACCATACTTAATGCTATTTCCTTCTCCTATTTTCCAATGGCAACAACCCTGTGAAGTGAATTGGTTCTGAGAGGGCGGGACTGGCCCAAATTCTCCCAGCTGGCTTTCTAGCCTAAAATGGGACTAGAACTCACCATCCCTGTTGTGGTTCCATTGCCTGGGCCTGGGCTATCGACAGATGCAGACTCTGAGAGTGAGGGAGAGGAGTTGGCAAGGCCTCCCTCTCCAGGATCCTCCTCTCTGGCAATGTCTCCGGAGGACACCGAAGGCCAAACGATAGGCCCAGAGCCAAGCACGTCCCCGCAGCCACAGGTGGACAGCAACGAAGGAGATAAGTGCTGGCTGGACCCTTGGCAGAGGCGCAGGGAGAAGCGTGCACAGCAGAGGGGAAGGTGTGCCAGAGATTAGCTGAGTCACTGGACCACACCCCACAGGGTATAAATGTGGGTGTGGTGGCCAGTTCAGTTTGTGATGAGCAAAAACTAGAAATAATCCATGATCTCTGCGTTACTGGACTTCTGCCTGCCTTGTCGGACTGCATTTGGACTAATCCTTGTATTGTGGAAACTTTGCCTGCTTTATCGGAATGCTTGCAGTCTAATCTTTGTTTTGTGTGAGTAAAGTCTGAATTGGCAGCTAGCCACTGGGTTGCTGCCAGCTTTATCTTCAAAGATTTTGTCGTGTGGCTTATTAACTCCGGGCCGTCTGTGGGGGTGCGTGTGTGTGACGGGGACAGAACAATCCCCTGGTTTCTAATCTGGTGTCTTAACTAGACCAAACTCGCTTTCTTTGGCACTAGACCAAACTTTTGACTCATTGCAGACAAGGTGGGATTTTGATTAAATGGTAGATAAACTGAGTAGATTATTACTTTTTGCCTTTCCAGCCTGAGGGCAGAAAGTAAACATATTAACCAGATTAGTTTGCTGACTTCATTTGTACTGTTTCCTTTTATTCCATGATCTTTTGCAAACCAATTGGATATGAATAGACCATCCAAATAGCATGAACTGCCCTGATATCAAACACATGTAGGTCTTTCAAGAAATCATCCTTTCCTTCTTTTGACATATACTGCAATCTAAGAAAAGGCTACACAGGTTTTCAGATTATTATGCTCGGAATGGGACTGTTGTGACCGAGGCCCAAATAGTGATTACCAAACACAATTCAGTCCTGAACAAACTTATTTTATTAAAACAGCTGAGAATTAATTCATTCTCAGCTTAGTCCAAAACAAATTCTTCATAACCAGTCCGTCGGCCTTATCACCAACCTTTGATGTCTTTGGCAACCTGCCAAAGGCTTTTCTTGGCAAAAAAACCCCCCACAAAGTTCAAGAGACGCTGACAAGAAGCACGGGAATCAACATTGCTTTTCTACAAAGAACCCAACAGCTCGTTGCTGCTCTTTTAAGCCTTATGGGAGGGGCCAATCATCTTCTGGCCTTACTCCTGAGTTGTCCTTTTTTCTTCAGCTGCTCTTGCCTTCTGGGAGCTCTTCACATGCGTGTACTAGGAACAGGCTCCTCCTGTTCCTCTGCCTCTCTGCTGTCCGCCTCTAGAGGCTACGGAGTCCGCGCATCACTCCCAGATGGCCCTGGCCCCATCTCTGCCTCCGACGCAGTGCCCTCCTCTGAGCCTTCCCCAGACTCCAGGACTGGCCCATTGTCCTCCCCAGCCTCCTCACTGTCCGACTCCTCTGCCAGCTCCATAGGCTGCTGGCGGACCACAACAGGGACAACTCGCCACAGCCAACTCTCTGCGGTGCAACTCGCCAGGGCCAACCTGCCATGGGACAACTTATTGTGGGGCAATTCAACCATTCGGTGTAATTATTTAAACTAATTTAAAAATTGTTTTAAGTTTTGTCATTCACATTTCATTTTGTCCCTCCTTTGGCATCCTTTCTTTAATGATTCTATTCCATTATTTCTTCAATAGTAGTGTTAACCAGGGGTAAAATACAGCAGGTTCTGACAGGTTCTGGAGAACCGGTAGCGGAAATTTTGAGTAGTTTGGAGAACCGGTAGCAGAAATTTTGAGTAGTTCAGAGAACCAGCAAATACCACCCCTGGCTGGTCCAGACTAGGGTGGGAACGGAGATTTTGCAATATCCTTCCCCCAGGAGTGGAGAGGGAATGGGGATTTTGCAGTATTTTCCCCCTGGAGTGGGGTAGGAATGGAGATTTTGCAGTATCCTTCCCCTGCAATGCCCACCAAGCCACACCCACAGAACCAGTAGTAAAAAATTTGGATTTCACCACTGGTGTTAACTCTTGTCCTGTGGCAAGTTGGCCATGGTCAGTTGGCCATGGTGACTTGTCGTAGACCTTATTATGCTTGCCTGCTTGGTTGTGTGAACTCATTTGGCCTGGATGCGAGGATGTCCTGGCCTCCAGGTAAACAAACTGCTTCTGGTCAATGATAGGTCTTCTCCATTATTTCGGCAGCACAGTGGTTAGAGTGCAATATTGCAGACTACTTCTGCTGACTGCCTGCTGACTGCAATTTGGCAGTTCAAATCTCACCAGGCTCAAGGTTGACTCAGCCTTCCATCCTTCCGAGGTGGGTCAAATGAGGGCCCAGATTGTTGGGGGCAAGAGGCTGACTCTGTAAACCGCTTAGAGAGGGCTGTAAAGCACTGTGAAGTGGAATATAAGTCTAATGCTATTATTGCTATTTCCTTAGTGGCGGAATCTTAACAATTGTCGTATTCTTCTTTCTCTTCCAGGACATCAGCAAGCAGAAGAAATCATAAATACTGGGCTTATTCTGTGAATTGCAAAGGCACTGAGTCACATCTCTTTAGCTGCAAAATGGGTGATCGGATCATGACATTCGGTGGGAACATTACCTGTGAGAATGGGATGCCTGCAGTGGTAAGCTGCAGCCCTGGACTAGCGTTTACCCCAGGCAGCCACAGTGGCTTCGGCAAAGCTTTCCGTGCTCAGGTAAGTGGAAGAACTTCTCCTTGGTCTGATAGGGAACTTGAATTTGCTATGGAGCATATTGCTAGCGGTGAACTGTTCAAACAAACTTTAGGATCACTTCCAAGCTTGAGCACCTTGATATTAAGGAAACTGTAGCCCTGATTCCCTTTCACCATTTCATTGCATCAACCTGGATCCAATGCTTGACAATGCGTGTGAAGTATTCCTTATTTATCATATTCATTTCCCATCTTTTCTCCAAGAAGAGCAGCTATATTCATGGTTCTTCCTAATTTATCTTCTTAAAGACCTGCGAAATGAAGTTGATTGGAAGACATAAAATCACACCCAATGAGCTTCATGGCATAGTAGGGATTTGAACATAATGTTTTGTTGGAATACATGTTAGAATGTATTTTGTTTTGCAACAACTACAGAATTATTTTAGCCAATAGATGGCAGCATTTAGTGTGCATCTATGGTTATAATCTATGGTTTTTTTATGTTCTGAGGAGAGTTTCCTGTTTCCTGTTACCGTAATATAGTTGAGCAGTAAAGCACATGGTGACTGTACTCTTTGTTTGATCTGTGGTGCTTTATATGAAACAATTTCTAATATGTTAGATCTTAGCAAAACACTAACTGATCTTAGCAAGATGGTTTAACCCACTTTTCCACAACTTAAGTATCCTACAGTTCATTTCCCAAAATTTTCAGCAGTGGTGATGTTCATTCTAATTAGGGAAAACTGTTAGGATCATTAAATTAACCATGGTGCTTTATTTGTCTTTAGCAGATTGCTTTCTAAGTTATTCTTCTTGTGATTAAGGGTTGAGGTAGGGTGAAGGCCTCTCTCTGGTCAATCTGTTGAGACAGAGCAATGCAAGATGATATCACAACCAGAATCGCTCAAGCTTCTGAGTTGCTTCCAAGAAATTCTTGTGTTGATACCATAGTGTCTTCCTTCAATGCAAATATTGGCAGGATAGCAAATTTTAAAATTAAAATATTTGGTGAACATTTACCAATGTGAAAAGATTAGTATTTCTTGAGATTTCACATGTCTCACATGAGATCTCAAAAGATTTCAGACTAGGACACAATAGTCTTTGGTAGACTACACAGTAATGTTCCTCATCATAAAATTGCTCTGGTTAGTTAGTTCTCATTTGCTAACTTTGAGAATTGTAGGTTAGCTAGAGGTCTATGTGGCTGTGGCTGTCTTAGTATTGAAATCACAAACTTTTGCATTTCAAATACTCTTAGGAAAAGATGTTGAATGTGTTGGACACTGCATAGTGTCATTATAGCCTGAGTAAGTTTACTCAGCTCCAAAAGTGAGCAAAAATCTGCTCAGTCAGGGGCCAAATTCTATTGGGATAAAATATCCTAGTTAATCACGAATTCTTTGTCCATATATGGTCATTATTTACAGAATTGTGAACATAACTGGCTACAGTCCAGTGGTAGGATAAGGCACACATTAAGTTTGTACAAAATAGTATTCTTCACAATACTTTGTGTTGTATATCAATAGTAGGAACCCTGCTTCTTAATTTGCCTTTTTTGTGTATGAATTCCAGCAGTTTTATTGCTGGACCAGCCTTCCATCTCATAGAATGTAACCAATGTTCATTGAATGATAAGTTTGCATTTTCTCCTAAATAAGATTATCTTCTTCTCCTTCTCCTTCTCCTTCATCGTCTCCTCCTCCTCCTCCTCCTCCTCCTCCTCCTCCTCCTCCTTCTTCTTCTTCTTCTTCCTTTTCCTTCTTCTTCTTCTTCTTCTCCTTCTTCATCATCATCATCTTCTTCTTCTTCTTCTCCTTCTTCTCCTCCTTCATCATCATCATCTTCTCCTCCTCCTCCTCCTTCATCGTCGTCGTCTTCTCCTTCTCCTTCATCATCTTCTCCTTCTCCTTCTCCTCTTCCTCCTCCTCCTCCTTCATCGTCTTCTTCTTCTTCTTCTTCATCTTCTTCTTCTTCTTCTTCTTCTTCTTCTTCTTCTTCTTCTTCTTCTTCTTCTTCTTCTCCTCCTCCTCCTCCTCCTCCTTCTTCTTCTTCTTTTTCCTCCTCCTTCTCCTTCTCCTCCTCCTTCTCCTCCTCCTCCTCCTTCTTTTTCCTCCTCCTCCTCCTCCTTTTTTTCCTCTCCCTCCTCTCCCTCCTCTTCTTCCCCTTCCCCTTCCCCTTCCCCATCCCTCTTCCTCCTCTGCCCAGGGAGATACAAAGCTATGGCTTTTCTAATGGCCTCAACCATTGTTAATTGATGTTGTTGTATTGTGTCTTTAATGTTGTATCTCCATGTTCTTCTGAGTCTGCCCCATGTTCTTTGACCTTCTCTTCTTTTTTTGCCTATGTCTTGAATAGTATGAAATTCCTAAATAAGATGACAGCATTAAAAAAAAAATATTGTGAAAATGTTTTGGGACTTAAATAGGAGACATTTAAAAGCCAGTCATAAACAGCTTTTCTCCCAATTCCACATAATTCATAGTGCCGAAAACATTCTCTCCCCTGCAGATTCTAACTTTCCGAAGTTCAGCATTCCAAGGCGTATATTTATATTTCCTGCTCCTCCTAAATAACAATATTTCCAAGGCACTGCCATCACTCTTAAAACGTTGCATTTATTTTTCAAGCACCGTTGCTCGGTTGCTCATATTTACCTGGAAAATGCTAAGAATTATATTCTGCAGAGCCTTGTTTACAATTCCTCCCTGCTTTAACTCAGGATGTTTAGGAGTTCCAGAACTGTCCAAGCTTCATTTATCGCTGGAAGGGGTGAAGCTCTTGGCAAAACGTTGCCTAATTCTCGTTCCAAATTCTTTTGTTCACGCCAGCTGACTGTTGCTTTGTGTTCTTCCAAAAAAGACAGCTTTCCTATTATGTAAACGATAATGTGGACAGTTGTGCCGTAGAATTCCTGAACTTTATGTAAGCGTGGATTTGTAGCTTATTAGCACGCCGTGACAGCAAAAGAAAGACGAGAGAAACGGATTTGTTTTTAATGTAGATGGATAGTTGAGGCTGCCAACTGTTTCTGAATCAGCCCCGTTTTTTCGATGCCGCAGATCTGCTGCACTCATATTTTAAAAGCTGAAAATCGCCACATACGACTCCGTAAGTTGGTAACAAAAATAGCAATCACAGCATAGACTTCATGGTACCATTTCGGTTGGCCGGGTCTGGAATTGTAAACCAACTCAAAGGCTCCAGATTGAGACACTATATTAGATCCTGATTCTTATTATATAATGACTCAGTTATGCAATACAATTCTTTACCTGGAGACTCTTAATTCTTCCCACTAATAAGATTATTAATGTTATCAATTAGTTATTAATTAATTATTAAAATATTATTAATAAGATTAAGATGATTAATAAGACCTTGAGATTCCAGCAGTGGTGTTGGTGGCTCTAACAAGCTATTCAGGTTTGTTAATAGATTGTACAGGTAGTCCTCGATTTACGACTACAATTGAGCCCCAAATTTTTGTTGCTAAGTGAAACATTTGTTAACTGAATTTTGCCCCATTTTACGACCTTTTGTGCCACGGTGAATCCCTGCAGTTGTTAAGGTTAAGTTAACAGGGTTGTTAAGTGAATCTGGCTTCCCCATTTTCAGAAGAGTCACAAAACGTGTTCACAGGATCCTGGGACATTGCCACCATCATAAATATGAGCCAGTCGCTAAGCATCCGATTTTTGACCATGTGACTATGCGGATACTGCAACGGTCGTAAGTGTGAAACAAGTCACTTTCCTCAGTCCCGTTGCAACTTTGGATGGTCACTAAGGGAACTGCTGCGAGGACTTACCTGTAAATAGATCTTTCAAAGGTGGTTGTACAATAAATTGTTCCATGTTGGTTGTGCATGTTTGTGGAGCAGGTCATAATCCAGACAGGTTTGTGTTCAGGAGTAATGAAAAGTAGAACTTGACTCAATTCTTTATTTAGAATAGAATAGAATCACAGAGTTGGTAGGGACCTTGGAGGTCTTCTAGTCCAACCCCCTGCCCAGGCAGGAAACCTTACACCACTTCAGACAAATGGTTATCCAACATCTTCTTAAAAACTTCCAGTGTTGGAGCTTTCACAACTTCTGGAGGCAAGTTGTTCCACTGATTAATTGTTCTTACAGTCAGGAAATTTCTTCTTAGGTCTAGGTTGCTTCTCTCCTTGATTAGTTTCCACCCATTGCTTCTTGTCCTACCCTCAGGTGCTTTGTAGAATAACTTGACTCCCTCTTCTTTGTGGCAGCCCCTGAGATATTGGAACACTGCTATCATGTCTCCCCTGGTCCTTCTTTTCATTAAACCAGACATACCCAGTTCCTGCAACCGTTCTTCATATGTTTTAGCCTCCAGCCCCTAATCATCTTTTTTTGCTCTTCTCTGCACTCTTTCTAGAGTCTCCACATCTTTTTTACATCGTGGCGACCAAAACTGAATGTAGTATTTCAAGTGTGGTCTTACCAAGGCCTTATAATGTGGTATTAATACTTTACGTGATCTTGATTCTATCCCTCTGTTTATGCAGCCCAGAACTGTGTTGGCTTTTTTGGCAGCTGCTGCACACAGCTGGCTCATATCTAAATGGTTGTCCACTCTTTCATTTATTTATATCTCCTTTATTGTTTTATAAATAAGTCTCCTGGGAGAGGTGGGGTGGAGTGGGCGGGGCCAGCCAGGAGTGGGATTTGGGGGTTCTCTGAACTGCACAGAATCTTAGCTAGAGGTTCTCCTGTAATCCCTGCGAAGCCTGCGACTTATGACCATTGTAGCGTTGTTAGTTGCGAAGTCGTGTCCGACCCATCGCGACCCCATGGACAACTTTCCTCTAGGCCTTCTCATCCTGTACCATCCTCCGGAGTCCATTTAAGCTCACGCCGACTGCTTCAGTGACTCCATCCAGCCACCTCGTTCTCTGTTGTCCCCTTCTTCTTTTGACCTCAATTATTCCCAGCATTAGGCTCTTCTCCAGGGAGTCCTTCCTTCTCATTAGATGGCCAAAGCATTTGAGTTTCATCTTCAGGATCTGGCCTTCTAAAGAGCAGTCAGAGCTGATCTCCTCTAGGACTGACCGTTTGATTACCTTGCAGTCCAAGGGACTCGCAGGAATCTTCTCCAGCACCAGAGTTCAAAGGCCTCAACTCTTTGGCGCTCAGCCTTCCTGATGGTCCAACTTTCACAGCCATACATTACAACTGGGAAAACCATCGCCTTGACTATACACACTTTTGTTGGCATTACATTGTAGCATTACTGTAGCCATTTTATCAAACTCACAACCAGCGTGTATTTACGATGGTTGCAGCATTCTGGGTTCACATGATTGCCATATGTGACCTTCCCAGGTGTTTTCAAAAGCAATGTCAAAGGGGAAAACCGGGTTTGCTTAATGACCCCATGATTCGCTTGTTAATTCATGGCAAAAAAAATGTGAAAAATCTGGTGTGAAACCACTCAACATCTGCATTGCTTAGTGATGGAAATTCTGGTTCCAGTTATAGCAATAGCACTTAGACTTATATACAGCTTCACAGTGCTTTACAGCCCCCTCTAAGCGGTTTACAGAGTCAGCCTGTTGCCCCCAACATCTGGCTCCTCATTTTTCCCATCTCGGAAGGATGGAAGGCTGAGTCAACCTTGAGCCTGGTGAGATTCGAACTGCCAAATTGCAGGGAGCCGGCAGGCAGCAGAAGTAGCCTGCAGTACTGGATTCTAACCACTGCGCCACCGCGACTCTTTTGGTCATAAGTCAAGTTCTATTGTTATGCCATCTGTGATTTGTGCCGGAAGGTGCATTTCTGTTGATCAGTTGATTTAAAAACAAAAAACCAGATAAAACAAAAATTGCCTCTGGCAATTACATTCCTAAGTAATAAAGATTCTCCCATTCCTTTTTAGCACCTTCTGGTGAGGCTAAAGGGTGGAGCCCAGATTGGAGAAGGCCGGCTTGAAGTGTTGATGAATGGAGAATGGGGAACCATTTGTGATGACGGGTGGGACCTACCTTCAGCCAGTGTGGCCTGCCGAGAATTGGGCTTTGGAACCGCCAAGGAGGCTATCTTGGGTGCGAGACTTGGACAAGGTAAGCATGTTTAAAATTAGGGAGTTATTAGAAAGGATGAAGGAGTAATGAAGATGGAGAGTCCATGAGCTGAGTCTATGCTTTATATGCAGAAAGTCCTATAATCTGATCATTAACATCTTCAGGTTTAGCAAGGGATTGCTTGATAGGTAAAACAATCTGTCTAACTCTTCGGAAAGCTGATATAACTTAGAATGGCATATCAAGAGAGGGAGGGAATATTCTATAACAGGGGTGTTAAACTCAAGGCCTGTGGGATAGATCTGGCCCCTGGAGTGCTTAGATCTGGCCTGTGGGGGCCCCCTCGAAACAACAAAGGACCAGCCCGCAGTGCCTCTGCCAGTGAAAACGGAGCTCAGGAGGGCCATGCGCGGCTCCCCAGATCTCCATTTTTGCTGGCAGAGAGCTGCAGGAGGCCATCGCAGACAAAACCAGAGCCTTGATGAGTGGCGTTGAGCTGGCCACGCCAGTGGTGGGTTCCTCCCGGTTCGGTCGGGTTCGGCCGAGCCGGTAGCAGTGACGATATGACGTCACTGAACCGGTTCTCCCCCCCCCCGCCCTCCCACCCCCACCCCCACCCACGTTATTCTTACCTTTTATTTGGTCCCACCCCCAATATATTGCTGCCTCCTGAGTCCCAGCTGATGACTAGAGGGAAAAAACTGTTTAAACTCTTGCCACGGGGCTTCAAAGGGCCGTCCTACAGCTGATCAGAGTTAAAAGCAAACAAATGAGTCGGGTCGTAAGTGCGAGGACTGGTTGTAAGTGTGAGGACCTTCCAGAAATGACTCTGACGAGCTAGCCACGCCCACCTAGTCACATGACCTCCAAGCCACACCCACAAAATAAGCCACACCCACAGAACCGGTAGTAAAAAAATTTAGAACCCACCCCTGGGCCACGCCCATCCTGGCCACGCTTACCCCAGCCCCCCCCCCAAGGTCAAACACAACCGTGATGCGGCCCTCAATGAAATCCAGTTTGACGCCCCTGTTCTATAAAATCCAGTATCTAAGATTTAAGTTTTTTTAAAAATATATATTTTGTTTTATCAACAAAACTAAAATACAAAACAGGAAAAAAAAAATACATCCAGCACTAATAACAAAAGAAAAAAGATTGGTGTACAAAAAAAAAGAGAGAGAGAGACGGGGGGAAATGACACAAGTTTCAAAAAAATGTAACATTAATCCAGAGGTGGGTTTCAGCAGGTTCTGACCAGTTCTGGAGAACCAGTAGCAGAAATTTTGAGTAGTTCAGAGAACCAGTAGTAAAAATTATGACTGGCCCCGCCCCCATCTATTCTCTGCCTCTCAAGTCCCAGTTGATTGGGAGGAAATGGGGATTTTGCAGTAACCTTCCCCTGGATTGGGGAGGAAATGGAGATTTTACAGTATCCTTCCCTTGGAGTGGGGAGGGAATGGAGACTTTACAGCATCGTTCCCTGCCCACACCCCCAAGCCACGCCACGCCCACCAAGCCACGCCCACAGAACCAGTAGTAAAATAATTTGAAACCCACCACTGCATTAAATTCAGCCTGGCTGGATGCTGGGGGAAAAAATTCTGCCATGGTAGCATCAAAGCAATCTTGATGGCACAAAAGAGTCAAGGGATCTAAATAAACCATGAAGTAACTCCAAAACGGTGTGGTTTGAGGAAAGAAAAGGAAAATAATTCATGTATGAGACAGACACTGCAGCTCTCCGGAATCTTAAAAATGTGAGCTTACAGCCAAATTGCACAGAACGGGCTCTAATATATATTTAATTGTGGTTACCGCTACGGAAGCGTTAGCATCACATGAAAAAAAGCCTCACTGCAACGTGATGGGGCTGGAGCAGGTTGGCACATTACACAAGGAGAAGCTAGACGTTTTGAAAGACTGCTTCGGTTTTCTTGTGTTTTCTTTACGGAAAATTGGAGATTGCTAGGAAAAACAGCTAGCCTTGCTCCGAAGTATATTAATAAAGCAGGTGGTACCACCTCTAGCAAAATATGTTTGCATTTTTTTTCCTGTCTGCTTCAGAAAATATATATGTATACCGTATTTCCCTGAAAATAAGACCCTGTCTTATATTTTTTTGAACCCTGAAATAAGCGCTTGGACTTATTGCCATGAGTTCAAAAGCCCGATTGGGCTTATTATCAAGGGATGTCTTATTTTGGGGGGGGGGAACAGGGTACCTATCTATTTATCTCTATCATCTCTATTTATTTATTTATATCTATTTGTCTCTGTCTCTTATCTGTCTAGTTATCTATCTATCTATCTATCTATCTATCTATCTATCTATCTACCGTGTTTCCCCGAAAATAAGACCCTGCCTTCTATTTTTTTGAACCCTGAAATAGTTATCTATCTATCTATCTATCTATCTATCTATCTATCTACCTACCTACCTACCTACCTACCAACTGTGTTTCTCCGAAAATAAGACCCTGCCTTCCATTTTTTTGAACTCTGAAATAGTTATCTATCTATCTATCTATCTATCTATCTATCTATCTATCTATCTATGTACCTACCGTGTTTCCCCGAAAATAAGACCCTGCCTTCTATTTTTTTGAACCCTGAAATAGTTATCTATCTATCTATCTATCTATCTATCTATCTATCTATCTACCTACCTACCTACCTACCATGTTTCCCCGAAAATAAGACCCTGCCTTCTATTTTTTTGAACTCTGAAATAATTATCTATTTATCTATCTATCTATCTATCTATCTATCTATCTATCTATCTATCTATCTAACTATCTATCTAACTATCTATCTATGTACCTACCGTGTTTCCCCAAAAATAAGACCCTGCCTTCTATTTTTTTGAACCCTGAAATAAGCGCTTGGCCTTATTGCCATGCACTCAAAAGCCCGATTGGTCTTATTATCAAGGGATGTCTTATTTTGGGGAAAACAGGGTATCTATCTACCTATCTCTATCATCTATATTTATTTATTTATATCTATTTGTCTCTGTCTCTATCTATCTATCTATCTATCTATCTATCTATCTATCTATCTACCGTGTTTTCCCGAAAATAAGACCCTGCCTTCTATTTTTTTGAACCCTGAAATAGTTATCTATCTATCTACCTACCTACCTACCTACCGTGTTTCCCCGAAAATAAGACCCTGCCTTCTATTTTTTTGAACCCTGAAATAAGCGCTTGGCCTTATTGCCATGCGCTCAAAAGCCCGATTGGGCTTATTATCAGGGATGTCTTATTTTGGGGAAAACAGGGTATCTATCTACCTATCTCTATCATCTATATTTATTTATTTATATCTATTTGTCTCTGTCTCTTATCTGTCTCTATCTATCTATCTATCTATCTATCTATCTATCTATCTACCGTGTTTCCCCGAAAATAAGACCCTGTCTTACATTTTTTTGAACCCTGAAATATGCACTTGGCCTTATTGCCATGCGCTCAAAAGCCCGATTGGTCTTATTATCAAGGGATGTCTTATTTTGGGAGAAAACAGGGTATATTGTTTGGAGAAATGTAGATGACTGCTTAATGAGAACAGCAACAAAATTAACTTTTTCCGTCTTCTAAACTTTGTTCTTGAAACTTGGAAAACCATGAAAGGTCTTTCAGTTTAATTTATTAGTCTGTTCAAGCACACAGGATCGCATGAACAGGCCTCTATAATTGTTTTACAGTACTAACCTTCAATAATAAGACTAATAAATTAGGACGCTACTGTGATAGTTGGATTAATTCCACAGGGTCTTGGCTATAATATGATCCTAAAATTTCTCTGGTGTCTAAATCAATACTGAAAACTAACTTACTACTATATGTACTGTACCAGGGGTGGGTTCTATTTATCTTTACTACCAGTTCACAGCAGGGCTGCGCAGAAGCCTTTTGATGACGTCGGGGCTGGTGGGCGGAGCCTCTGGCCGGTTTTACTACCGGTTCTATAGAACTGGTGCGAACCGGGGGCAATCCACCACTGTACTGTACCCTTGTAAAGGACACAGAAACTGTAAAATGTAGCAGCTATGTTCCCAACCGATGCAAGAATCACATATGTTTACATCAAAATATCAATGCTGATTGCCAGTTGTTTACCAAATGTAATTTTATTTATTCAATTTCTAATAGCCTTCCATCTCAGTCCAATTACTCTACAACTGACTCTGAAATTGACTAATTTTAAATCTTGATAATGGCATTGATCTCAGGGTCTGATTGTCCAAAGCAGAGGTCTCCAACCTTGGCAACTTTAAGCCAGAAGGACTTCAACTCCCAGAATTCTGGGAGTTGAAGTCCGCCAGGCTTAAAGTTGCCAAGGTTGGAAACTTCAGGTATAAAGAACCGCCTTTCCCATTGGAAACTTCTCCAATCACTAAGATCAGCAAGAAATATTCTTTTGATGTAGCCACTGCTCTCAGAAGCCCATAGTTGTGGAAAAACTAAGAATGTTTTGAAATATACCGTATTTTTCGGAATATAAAATGCACCGGATTATAAAATGCACCTTAGTTTTTGGGGAGGAAAATAAGAAAAAAGTTGATTGGCAGGTGGATTGGCCTCCCAGAATACCCCCAATCAGCTGTTCTCAGAGGTGAATTTTAGCAACAGGTTCCGTTTCAGAAAATAAAAAATTCTGTCTCTGAAAGGCTCTGAAACAGCTTCAGAAAAAAAGTCTCTGAAGCTGTTTGGGGGCTTCTTTTTTGAAGCTCTGTTTGGGGGCTTCTTTTCTGAAGCTTTGTTTCTGATGCTTTTTTCAGCCTCTGAAACCTCCGTTTGAGAAGCTGGGCGGAGCTACATTCGGAGTATAAGATGCACCCAGATTTTCACCCTCTTTTTTGGAGGAAAAAGGTGCATTTTATACTCCGAAAAATACAGTATTCCACTTAGGAATTATACTTTGCCCTCTCTCAGTGTGTTGAAAACCTATAAAGACAAAGCATTTTTGCTAGTCTTGTGATAATTAAATGATTTGATGTAGGAGAAGGAGAGGCAGAACCTGGGGCGGAGTCAAGAGAGGAATCTGCCGGGAATCATTATGTTGCCGCAAGCAATCCAATTCCAGCTCCTCTCAAATTCCATCAATTTAGTGTTGACCATTAGTTGACTCGATTCTTGTGTAATAAATCAATAAATAATAAATAAGCAATAAAGCAATGAATCAGTAAAACTGGAACTTAACATGCGGTCCTAATTCTTCATGCCTGACATTTTGGAACCTACTAAATTATTAGTTTTTAATGTGCTATTTTAGTTTTTAGAGTCTGTATTTTTTAATCATTATTATTATTATTTACTTTATTCATTAAACATGAAACTCAGTCAACTGAACATTCAAAAGTGCATCATCATCATCATCATCATCATCATCATCATCATCATCATTATTATTATTATTATTATTATTATTATTATTATTATTATTCTTTGGTTTCTTCTGCCTTGAATATAAGCTGGCAGAGTAAAGAGGACAGACAACACTGTTTGTTTGCTAGCACCCTAAGAGTCCAGTTCTATTTGCATCTTTTGAACTTAATGGGAATATTTAATAAACATGCATAATATCAGACACTAATAGATTTACTAGAGAAAATGCATGAATATTTATTTGTGTATTTATTTAGGTAGTTGTAGGCTATCTAGTTTCATCGCAACTTTGGACAGTGTTCAACATGAATATTCATTAAAAGAATATAATGCAAAACAATGCAAAACAAATGCGTGGAAAAATACCAGCTCTATCTGTATGGAGATTCTCAGTCATCCAGGTTTTGGTTGTTCCCAAAGATGCTTTTTCAAGAGGCAACTGGACTTTTTGGGTTTTTCTTTGAAGACATTTTTCTTCGCATCCAAAAAGCTTCCAGGGGCCTGAGTGGCTCAGTAGACTAAGGCACTGTGATTAACATTCAGCTGCCTGCAATTACTGCAAGTTCAAATCTCACCAGGCTCAAGGTCGACTCAGCCTTCCATCCTTTCTAAGGTAGGTAAATTGAGGACCCAGTTTGTGGGGGCAATAAACTGACTTTATATAAATATATACAAAAGTATGAAGGCTATTGCTTAACGCATTGTAAGCCGCCCTGAGTCTCCGGAGAAGGGCGGCGTATAAATTAATTTAAAAAAAAAAAAAAAAGCTTCTTCAGCTTTTGCCTCTCATCCAAGAGCTGAAGAAGCTTCTTGGATGAGAAGCGAAATGTCTTCAAAGAAAAACCAGAATGTCCAATTGTCTCTTGAAAAAGCACCTTTGGGAACACTGGCTCTACTAGATTGATATCCCATCAGAGGTCCATGGTTTACTTTAACCCAAGACTTGGGAGAAGAGCTGGATTTTAAGAGCTTATTTCACTGGGGTTGCATTACAAAAGGGAACCATAAGCCATTCTACCAGACTTAATATTTTTTCTCTAATTTTGTAGTGCTATGATGTCCATTTAAAGTTCAAAGATTTCTTGGAAATCCTTTTATAACCCTCTGTTTCCTTGCAAAAGTAAAAAATAATGTTAGAAATCTTCCAATAATCCATGTTTATTTGCAATCTTTCTATAGTCCTACGAAAGAATTATCCTGATCCCTGTTGAAATGTCAGACTTGTGGGCAAAAATAGTAAAAAAAAAAATGCCAGTTGCATATTTTGCTTCCAATTCTCCAAATGAAATTTAAGAAATGATGGAGAAATGGAAAATTGGCCTTCGTTCTGCTTCTAACAATTGAAAGAAAGAAAGAAAGAAAAATATTGGAAACAGTATTTCAAAGAATAAAAACAAAATTAACTGCAGAAAAACTTTATTAAAGCCCTGGATATTTTTAACTCAGAAGTTTCCTGGGCCTCTATCTGGGTTTGAGAATATCTGGGCAATTGAGATGTTCAGTCTATAAATTGTCCCAAAGGTGCTTTTTTTTCAAACGGCAACAGGATTTTCTCGGGGTTTTTTTCCTTTGAAAACATTTAGCTGCTCATCCAAGCTTCTTCGGTTGAATTGAGAATCTCTATAGACAGTCTCTAGGGACGCGGTGGCTCAGTGGCTAAGACATTGAGCTTGTCGATCGAAAGGCCGGCATTTCAGCGGTTCGAATCCCTAGTGCTGCATAACAGGATGACCTCACCTTACTTGTCCCAGCTTCTGCCAACCTAGCAGTTCAAAAGCACGTAAAAAATGCAAATAGAAAAATAGGGACCACTTTTGGTGGGAAGAGAACAGCGTTCCGTGCGCCTTTGGCGTTGAGTCATGTCCACATGACCACAGAGACGTCTTCGGACAGCGCTGGCTCTTCGGCTTTGAAACGGAGATGAGCACCGCCCCCTAGAGTCGGGAACAACTAGCACATATGTGCGAGGGGAACCTTTACCTTTATAGACAGTCCATGAATTCTTAACACATTTTCTTTATCTGATTTCTCCAGATGCAGCGATACTCTTAGGACAGGTCTATAGGGGGAAAGCTTTTATTAAACAGAACGAAAAAACAGGAGAAAACACAACAACATTGGCTTACCACATTTAATGAAGTCATATGTTTTAGTCTCTGAAAGGGGGATTGTAAGATCTTCACATTTCCTAATTGAAGAACTAAGCAGATATGTTGACTTTAACTGCTGTAGTCACCAAATTAGGGTAGTTTCCATCAGAACATGTAAAATATATACTTCGGATTTATTGTGGGGAAATGAGCTTATGAGCGTCCCTCTCTTTTTAAAGGCATTGGCCCTATCCATCTCAATGAAGTGGACTGCACAGGCTTTGAAAAGTCTATTACAGACTGTAAATTCAGCAAGGAGATCAGGAGCTGCACCCATGAAGAAGATGCTGGTGTGAAATGCAACATCCCAGCAATGGGCTTCCAAAACCAGGTGAGATCATTGGGAGTATGATGAGAGAATTCTTCTCCTTCTCCTTCTCCTTCTCCTTCTCCTTCTCCTTCTCCTTCTCCTTCTCCTTCTCCTTCTCCTTCTCCTTCTCCTTCTCCTTCTCCTTCTTCTTCTCCTCCTCCTCCTCCTCCTCCTCCTCCTCCTCCTCCTCCTTCTTCTTCTTTTTCTTCTTCTTCTTCTCCTCCTCCTCCTTCTCCTCCTTCTCCTCCTCCTCCTTCTTCTCCTTCTCCTCCTTCTCCTTCTCCTCCTCCTTCTCCTCCTTCTTCTCCTCCTTCTCCTCCTCCTCTTCCTCCTTCGTCATCTTCTCCTCCTCCTCCTCCTCCTCCTCCTCCTCCTCCTCCTCCTCCTCCTCCTCCTCCTCCTCCTCCTGTAGAATGCACTGTGCACTTCATCATAAGAGCTGGAACATGGAAATATAATCCTTACTTTTATCCCCCTTGACCTCCAGTTGAAGAGACCACCATCAAAGATATAATCTATTCTACTTTTGAGATCATTGGTTTAATTTGGGCCAGCCACAATCTCTAAGACCAACCTACCCCACCTTGTTGTTAGAACAAAAACACGAGGAGAGTCAACCCAAAGGCAACTGGACTTTCTTGATTTTTCCTTTGAAAGCATTTTGCTTCTCATCCAAGAAGCTTCTTCGGTTCTGAAGAACCTCTTCAGTTCAGAACTGAAGAAGCTTCTTTCATGAGAAGCAGGATGTTCTCAAAGAAAAAAAACCAAGAAAATCCGTTTGCCTTTTAGAAAAATCACCTTTGCGACAACCATAACTTAGATCAGGGGTGTCAAACTCGATTTCACTGAGGGCCGCATCAGGGTTGATTGCATTGTGGGGGACCACAGGAGGCGTGGCTGAAGTGGGCATGGTCCACTCAATGTCACTTGTGTCGGGGGCACCTGTGTGCTCTGCCAGTGAGAATGGGCTCCCGACAGTGGTGGGTTGCCCCCGGTTTGGACCGGTTGGCAAGAACCGGTGGTAAAACCAGCGGGAGGCTCCGCCCACCGACCCCGACGTCATCAGGAAGCTTCTGTGCATGCGCACGCCGCCCCATTGCGAACCGGTAGTAAAGGTAAGTAGAACCCACCCCTGGCTCCCAAGTTCTGTTTTCACTGGCAGAGGGTTGCAGGAGGCTGTCACAGCCAAAAACGGAGCTCGGGAACCCATTTTCACTGGCAGAGGCACTGCGGGCCAGTCCTTCACTATTTCCACGGTGGCCCTGCGGGCCAGATCTAAGCACCCCACAGGCTGAATCTGGCCCACGGGCCTTGAGTTTGACACCCCTAACTTAGATGATTGAGAATCTCCGTAGACAATGAGGAGAGTTAATTGCTATAGTAGCAGTGATAGTAGAAGTAGCGGTTTTCTTCAGGACCAGTCTTACCGTCAGTCAGAGCAAAGGAGCTGGGGGGTCTTTTGATGTGGCTTGTTTTTATGTCTTGGTAGCATGATCACTGCGTGTGACGTCAGCTACTAACCCATGGGGTCAAATTCGACTTTGAGCACATTGTAATATTTTTAAACCCATGTGCAAATGGAGCTAAAACCGTATAAAGTGCAGCACACAAACAGATGTTAAGAGGACCAAAAAACACAAATAGCCTCCTCAAATAGCCGCCGTGACCTTACAAGGGTCATATGAATCAGACTTTTGGAGACTCCTTAAAATGTTTACTGAATTCGGGTTTTTGAACAGGAGGCGCTTTTCCTCAACCTTCCATATTGAGGTCATCTTCAGACTGCTGGCTCAGAGTCCCTACTGGCAGGCAGTTCAGTGAATTTGTAAGATTTACAACCCAGGATTTGGCCAAACTCCACATGTTCCATTCAGTTTAACATCTGTGTTCTCTTAAAATCCATGAGCGCAACATAATTTGAGAAACATCCTAGCCTTTCTCCAAATAACTTGCTTCATAGTTTTTAACCAACCTTCTTCTTAATACTTTCATTAAAACAATTACTCCGCCTTGAATATCAGTTGGGGTTTATGCTCAGGCATTACTTAATGTCAGGGTTAGAGCCCATATGTAACCTCGGTTTTGAGAACCTCAATCCCAAGGGAGGCTTTTGCCAACTTTTTTTTTTAAAAAAATAATCTTTATTTACATTTTCCATTAAAAAGAGAAAACAACACATCATATAAATAACACACAAAACACAAGACAATACAATACAACACAAAAGAAAAGAAAAGAAAAGAAAAGAAAAGAAAAGAAAAGAAAAGAAAAGAAAAGAAAAGAAAAAACAGGCATATCTCTATGTAGTACCTTAATAACCTAATATTCGGTACTATGTTCCCATATTATATTCCGGAGAAGACAGAACAACTTATATACCTTTATACGTCGATTAGGTCTATCCGACCTAACTTGATGCCTTCTTGATGGACTACAGTTCAGAACAATATCCTGATAACTTAGAGACAGTGTGAATTATAATTCAATACATCTGAGGAATATCAGGTTAGAGTAGAACAGGGTTGTCAAATTTATCAGAGTTTGTTGCAGAAATGAAATCTAGAAAGCACACACAGGTAAACTGATTCAGCAGGATTCATTAACTTCTTTATATACATATAATACATGAAGATAAATGTACAATACCAATATAGATTCTTCTTCAACGTAGTAGCAGTTACAAGCAAAACACAAGGCAGGAGAGAACAGTTAATTTCATTTCAGCAGAGCAGACTAGTTTCAGTTTATTTTATTTTATTTTTATTATTTATTTTATTAATCATATTTCTATGCTGCCCACTCTCCGAGGACTCTGGGCGGTTTACAACAATCAACAGTATACTAAATAGCATATTGCCCCCCAACAATCTGGGTCCTCATTTTACCCACCTCGGAAGGATGGAAGGCTGAGTCAACCTTGAGCCTGGTGAGATTTGATCTGCTGATCTGCTGAACTAGCAGCCAGCTGAAGTAGCGGCAGTACTGCACTCTAACCACTGCGCCACCTTGGTTTCTCTGCACAGACTCAGTAGCTGCAGGGCTAA